ACCCTGACCATCCTCTTCATCAGACTGTCATAGAAAGAAAAAAAGTGTCTTCACTCGGAGGCTTCATTAACTTCGCTGTAATACAGACCGCTACAGAAGATCTTTCCTGCCCACAGCCATCAGCATCTACAATAAGTTTTTAGTTAAATGAGTTACAACAACCCCTAATTTCCCTCTGGGATCAATATAGTATTTTTGGATGAATAAAGTATTTTTGAATTGAATTGAATGGAAAAGTGATTCAGTGGTAGAGAAATCCTACCTCAGTGCTGCTTGTTGGTATGACACTTTCAAATCTTCTCATTCAACTCTGCCCTCCACTGTAGTGTGTGAGCCATCACAGAGTGTTGGTGTGTGTATCCTTCATGTTGATAGCATGTTCAAAGCTCTGTGCATTCTGGGATTTTTTTTACCCCCAGTCTCCAGGGAGGCAGCCATGTGCAGTTCCTTGGAGCAATGACAGGAAAAAAAGCCAATTAAAGTACTTTTCTCCAACTTGTTAGAGTTGAGGTTGAAGCTGATATAAATATACAGTAACATCCAATCTTTTGAAAGACTTGCATTAAGGGCGATCCTCGGTGCTGTGAAAGTGTCACTTTGCCATCCCAAGGCCTTATTCTGTTCATCTCAAAGCTACAGCTTTCATTTTTCTTGTTGTGAAGTCACTGCAGAGATTGGAGGAAAACATGATGCAGCAAAGGGCTCTTGGGGGTGTCGAGACAAAATCTGGGCTTGACAGATGTGGTGAATTCATGGTTTATTTGTTTGTTTTTTTTTAACCATTTTTATGTTTTACACCATGTTCTCACTGTGCTCAGGAGGACTCCCTGCTGCGTCTGTGTTTCCCACAGAGTGTAATTGTGAGTTTAATTAGGTTAGCTGCTGAATTAAAGGCTGCAAAAATAGAKGGAGAAAAGGTCCAACACGGGCAGAGAAAAGACTCAAAAGGGGGCAGATCTCTGCAGATTGGCAGGGAAGTAATTAAGTCGTTTTTAGCAAACCCCTTGGAATAACCCTTCATTAAACAATCGTCCTCCTCCTCTTCCTGTTTCTCCTTCTGATTCATCATGTCTTTCACCGACCCGTTTTTTTTCCACTCAACTATTAACTCTATTCTGATTCCAGTCTCATATTAWAGGCTCATCTCCATCCTCTCTTGTTCCCATGGTTACCTAATGACCTTATCAATACCAGTGTTTCCCCTACCATTATACAACCCCCCTCCCCCGCCAACGAGACGGCCCGCCCCTCTAAGAGTTTCACGGCATGTAGTCATTTTTATTTAAATAAGGCCAGATCAAGTCGAGAGCTATTTTTTTGCGTCCCTCCATATCTACCTCTCACCAAACTTGGGGAAAAAGACGGCGCAGAGCGAGGCTGAGCGCTGTGTGTGGTCCTCACAAAAATAGGAAGACGTGTGTGTGATTAGACGCGCGGCTCTGCTTTTAATCACGTTGTACCGATGCAACAGCTTTGCAAGCTACTTTTTCTTTCTTTAAAAGAAAAT